TAAACTGTATTGCCTGCAATGGGGTTCCCACATCCTTAATTAATCCATCATTAATAATCCCCTTCTTTCTTTTCTCCTAACCTTCATTTTGTTAGGCTTAATCGTTTCAAAAAACCTATTCATTTCTTTTCAGGTCAGGAGTACAATTTTAATAAGCTGACGAACGAAGAAGTTAATTCTCTCGGACAAACTTACGATTATGACTCCATTATGCACTACGCAAGGGAACATTTAGTAAAGGAACTTATTTGGATACGATATTACCTCTGGAGGTGCACGGTAAGAAGAGGCCAGAAATCGGGCAAAGAGTGAAGCTCAGTGCCAGTGATATTGCCCAGACGAATCTACTCTACAAATGCGCAAGTAAGTTTTTTTTTATACAACAGAATGGCAAACAAGCTGACGGCTCACCTGATGGAAAGTGGTAACCGTCGCCTATAGACATGAGCAGTACCATAGACATAACAGAGTATACTGTTTCGCCCATGGCCTCCCACGCGTTGCCATTCCTGAGGACTCAGGTGTTATTCCTCTGTATCCTGTGAATTACCGGCAAGACATTGTAACCTTAAAAAACTTAAAAAAAGGCTTCCTTTTTAAAAGACTGGCAGCACATCTGTAAGTCCTTTGGTATTGCGGGTGCTAATGGATAGTGGTAGTCACTGGTAATGACTGCTTCGGCTCATATGATGGGTAATCAGGTGAGCCGCAGTTGTTGCCTTTTCGAATGCAGCCGTATGCCCTACCGTTGAAGAACCAATAACTAACATAACCCGAAAGATAAGCAAACTGAAGTTCAATGGAACAGTCATATAATTAAATATGCAGTTTTTTATTGGTTAAACGGTTACTCCGTACAGGCAGCATACGTATTGTGTAAGATGTCTTCTCTTTAAATATTGTAATAAATATCAGATAGTATGCAAAATCAATGCAGGTAGCTCAAGAACTTTTCTAATGGCTACCTATTTGGAAAATCCATATTCATCTTTGGTTTCAACAACGATTTGGTTTACTGAAATTTCTTTTTAATATATTTACGTATATTTTGGTAATAAATAAGGATGAATATCTTCAACATCAGAGGTGTCAACTTTTTCTAAATTCTTTGTTAATTTTTATAATAGCATATTAGTAATTAACTGTTTTTCTTTATTCTTTTTAGAATGCGGGAAGACTCTTTTAGGTAACTCTGGCTGGTTCAATTCTGGCTGGGGCTCTGAGGCATCTCCTTCGACACCGGAACGCTGCGAATGGAGAATTGTCGCAACCCACGGAGAAAGAGTCGTGCTAAACATTACCGGTAAGTCGTCTTCAGTAAAAAGATCAATACATGAAATCAACTGCAGTTTAATACATCTCGTTTTAAGCCGACTGAGTAGTCGATCGTGATGAGTATCAGGATCGATAAATTGAGTTAAAACAATGCTGCTATCCTATAGGTGTCTAACTATAATCAAACAATGAATTAAAATGTTTATCCAACTTAATGCTAATAAAAAGTTTAGCTTTTATTAATTTAGGATCAATTTTGGAAACGACTTTTTTCTGAATTGGGTCTGAGTTTTTTTAATTGTGCACTTAGATGCTCATTTCACTATGTATTCTAGTAGATTTCTTCAGTCCAATTCCATTACTCTTTGGCGTATATCGTTTTCTCGTATGTGATCTATCAATTCCACATGAACCTATGATGATGTTTGATCTTTAGATCTTTTCTAGTATCTTTATGACTTTATCCTTGCATTTTAAAAGCGTTTTTTTATACAACTTAGAATGGCAAACAAGCTGACGGTCCACCTCTTGGAAAGTGATAACTGTCGCCTATAGACATGAGCAGTACCATGGACATAACAGAGTATACTGTTTTGCCCATGATACCCTCCATGCGTTGCCATTCCTAAGGACTTGGGTGTTATTCCTCTGTACCCAGTATATTAACGCCATATCCCACCCTTCAAACCGAAACACAGCCATGCAAACACAGCTGCTTCACGGTTGAAACATGAATGGGACAGAGGTACCCCAGCAAACGAAAGCGTTCTTAGTTAACTCCGATAATTTATAGACACAAACTTCGTCTGCACCAAGCTCTTAGGAAAAACGTATAGTAATATTGTTTCCACTAGCTGACTAATAGTCAGAGATGATAAATATGGATAAAGTTAGGTCAGTTATCCCATCGTGATGAATTGACTTAAAAAATTACTTACTACGGTTACTAGGTGATCCCACGTAGAAATCAACCTAACAGGGTATATAGATAGCAATATATCTATCAGTATTTATAATATAGTTCCCTTGCATGCTATATGCATTGCTATAAATATAATCCAGGGCAATAGTACCAATTGTGAAGATTCACTGTCTATGCCATCTATACAACTACGACCACTCTAATAAGAAAGATAGATTAAAAAGGAGAATCGAACACCTTTTTCAAGCTCCCAATTTAAATCCATATCTGTAATTAAATCTCTTAAAAATCTGTCACCCCTAATAAATATACATATCCATAAAACCCTTGATGACACAGGCCGATATTCCAACTATGCTCGTCAAAAAGAGCATTGTCAGGGGTATGAAGGATACTTCGAGGCCCAATTTCGTTTTAAGGACCCTCTTGAGACACCCCAATTGCCGTGCGTAGTTATGTCTTTTTCGTCTACGTAGGTATGTGTGCATATATTGAAGTTCGCCATTATCTATTTGAAAAATGTATTTTCCATATTCACAAGTACATCAATTACGAAACTTTTTCATTCCTTATTTCTTGCTTTTTTATTTAGTTTTTTAATTACATTGAATGTCTAAGAAAATAAATAATATCCAGCTAATATTCCCTCCTAGCTATTTACCGAAATTTTGTCGACATGAGTCAGTATATACCTAAAGCATCTTGTATTAATATAGGATATAGCCTATCCGTGTCATAAATTTCATTCAAATCCATTCGGCTACAAATATCTAAACAACTAAACATATTTACAAACTTTCACATTTATTTTATTTGTAGGATCAAACACCTGGGGGGTCTACCATAAAATAAATTCCGAATTTTCAGACTTAATTTCATGTTTTTGTTCATGCCAATATCGGCCCAGTAAATGAAGCTTAACATTTGATACGTCATAAATCTTACTATAAAAGTTTAATATAAAAGAACGATATTTTAACATTTTTAATATTTTTAAACGGAATATGTCACGTAAAGTTAACATCAAATTTGTGTTCCGTTCAGCCCCAAAATTTCGGAAAAAATGTCATGGTAGACTCCCACTCTCTATTCAGGGATCTCAACATTTTAGGAGACTATCAAATGAAGGGGTACTCGATTCGTTTGAGTTTATCAGTAACTATATAACGCGATTAAGTCGTCAATTAAAAACTGATTTTCATTATTATTTTTGTAATCAATAGGGTTATTGTTATTCTCTTTATTGTTCATTATGGGTGTATTATTTAAAGTCTTACAATTAAAATAGCTCAACCATAATGTACCTTTTTAAGGTAAAATTACAAAGACGGTTTACTTCAATATTGACACCATATTAGTTGTAATAATTGAAGTTTTGCGTTCTAAATTTAAATATTTTCAACGTTCCTTATCATTTATCTGAATGTGTGTATCCATGATTGAAGTCACTTGTCGAGGGTTACGGACTTTATTCTAAATGGATGATAATGGAGTGGTAACATTAACATTGCTATCGGTATGTGAATAATAGACGAAGATGAAAGCAGGTTGGTTGGTCTATCATGACGAGTTTCCAGGGGTAGCAGCGTGAAGTTCAACCTGACAGGGTTGCCAGCAATGAGGCCACTAGTCCCTACTATTAACAAGCCTTTCTCCCTCCAACAATATGTATTTGTCGTACCAAGTATTCTGGGTTTGCTAGAGATAGAGGAATACAAAGCATGTTACTAAGCACATCCATCTTGTAAACTGGACCGGAGTAGTTCAACAACAACGAACGGATTATGTACGGTTGTCAAAACAACCATTTATCACGAATACCTACGTACAGACAGCAGCTTAACGAGATGGCCCTGTCAAAATGTACTGCTGTGTCCATTATGGAGGATTATTGTGTGCGGGACAGTACACATTGCAAATAGAAATTATTGTAACGCATCTATGAAAATCCCTTTAAGTATTATATTGTGACAATAAGTTGGATTTGCGGAAAATTGCTCTCTGTTCATACCAATATAAAGATATTTATTATTTTTATGTACTTTATCTAAAATGCCATTTCCAAAAATTACCACATCTAATTACTAAATAACTATTCTAACTGCCTGATTTGGGATATAATTTGAACAATTATTATAAAGAGCATAAACTCAAAAATTATTTAGCCCAAGAAATTCTTTCACCTGTAAAAAGTTATTTTATCAACAAGTCTCGGCTACGGTAACTACTTAATATCAGGCAGACCATATGTTTGTATACTACCTCACTGATTTAAAAAAGTAATATTTTAACTGTATTTTAATAAAAAAAAAATAAAGATCCCTACACTATCTTCTCGTGCGAAGCCGGGGGCGAGTCGCTAGTTGTGTCTACAATTATTAATTTTAGCGACAAAGTGGTGAAAATATTTGTGGTTATAGCACTCAGAAGACCCAAGGGTCCTGAGAGTGCGGTATCGCCCATGACGCTACCTTTCGAGCCAAATCGATCGAGTGACCGCGCGGTTAGCACGATTGGTTCGCAAATTGTTTCCTTAATTCAACCCGTGTTCCAGGGGAAAGTAGTTGAATTTTGCAAACACCAACTCAGAGATATATACTGGTTTAATATATGCCGCAATTACATCATGATCATCATCATTTCAGCCCTTAATCGTCCACTGCTGAACATAAGCCCCCTAGGGGATTTTACCAGTAGTTGCTATGCTTGGCAGGCGATTGTCAACAAAAGTCAGGCTTTAGAGATGTTTTAACTAGGACTATGCCCATCTCTTGCCATTTCTTAGTTGTCTTTTACGACACCTACGGGAAAGGAAGGAGCGGGCCTATTCTATGCCGGAACCACATGGCCACCCAACTATATCATACTTTTGTAGTTTTGTAAGTGTACCTTTTTATTAAGAGACACGCTGCTGAGTAATTCTCAGTAGCATTTCTCTTAAAACATCACCAAAGTCTTACTGCGGTCACCAACTCCCCTGCCAAGCGTGACAACTACTGGTAAACCCCTCCGATACTGGGGAGGCCTATGTTCGGGAATGGATGGATAACAACTGATATGATGAGGACATGATAGTTTTTTCTAAATTAATTATTTTGCTTATAACACTTGTGACGTCAATCTCTGTGTTTAATCTTTAAATATCATTCGACAACCGTGTCTAGAATTACGTAGCAACAAGCTACGTACATATTTACAAAGTATTTTATGAACTCAGGCGTGACTCAATGAAATATATTTATTGAATTGTTTTTAAATGTTGCCATCAATAAATAAAATTCAGGCATGGATAAATGAAATGACGAGGTAGTTCTTTATATGTATAAAAGACTTCAATATGAAATATTTCAATTCTAAAATTGTGTTTGGTTTGTAGTAGATACTATCATTATTTATTTATCTATTTATTTATTCAAATGACTTTATTGACCAAATGAAAATGTGGTAAAAAGGCGAACTTACTACTAGTAACATTTTTTACCAATCAACTTTTGGAATTAACAGTGAATAACAAACGCGATACTTGATTATTGGGATAGGTAATGATACAGAACGGCCACACAGCAGTCTATTGTAGAATGTGTCGCTCGGCGGCTTACAGAAGTAGATGGAGACATATTGCGAGTACCTCAATCGGGAAGGAGGGCCTCATCGACGATCCACTGTCATTGTAAAAACCACAACCAAGAGTGTACCTCTGTCAAGAGTGTACGACTGAAGAGAGAGAGAATGATAATAACCCGTTTACGCCAATCAAGAATATATAATAATATACTGCGAGAAATTTTTTTAATTTATTTATTTAAACTTTATTAACCAATAAAAGGTGGTACAAAAGGCGAACTTAATGCTATAGGCATTCTCTACCAGTCAACTTTTAGGATATACAGAGATACTCAATGGCGGTTTAAAACATAAAATTATTTATATTTTTGTATAAAATGGTAAATTACATACATACAAATATTCATGAAATAAACATACATATTGATATAGTATTTATATGTATACTAATACTTGCTTATATATATACAAATGCATCTGATCACTCTTTTTGAGGGTGAATTTATTAGAGAAAGCACGAATGCTTTTGAGCAATGAGTCGT